CCAGGGGCCGGCCCGGCCGAGGGGATGCTCGGTAGAGCCTGGCACTGGCAGCGCCGGCTGGAGCGAGGGGGGGGACAACATGGGTCCCCCTCGATGGCCTTGTCCTTGTCCCTGTCCCTGCAAGGCTCGGCCGTGCTGGCCCAAGAGGACGACCTGGCCATGTCGCTGCACTTCATGAACCTGGGCAGCAGCCCCTTGTCCTCAGCAGAGAGCAAGCTGGAGGGGCTGAAGAGCAACTTCATCGAGAACCCCCAGTACTTCTGCGACGCCTGTAAGGGTTTGGAATGGGGAGGGACGGACCCCAGGAGCATCCTCCCAGTGCCTCATCCCTGGTGCAGGGTCGGGGGGGGCACTGATGGGTCGGGGTCCGTCCCCCCCCAGGCGTGCACCACGTGCAGCGTCGGGACATTGTGCTCAAGTGGGAGCTGGGGGAAGGCGCCTTCGGGAAGGTTTTCTTGGCCGAGTGCTACAACCTCCTCCCGGAGCAGGAGAAGATGCTGGTGGCTGTGAAGGTGAGGAGGGGGGGGAACGATGATGATGATGATGATGATGATGATGATGATGGGGGTGTCTATGGGGGGGTTGTTTGATGCCGCCTCCCCGCAGGCCCTGAAGGAGGTGACGGAAAGCGCCCGCCTGGACTTCCAGCGCGAGGCCGAGCTGCTGACGGTGCTGCAGCACGAGCACATCGTCAAGTTCTACGGCGTCTGCACCGAGGGCGAGCCCCTCATCATGGTCTTCGAGTACATGAAGCACGGGGACCTCAACCGCTTCCTCAGGTGGGCCTGGGGGGGGGGGGGTCTCAGCCCTCCCCTCCCCTTTCCTTGGCCGCTCCATCAGCGCTGCCAGCCTGCTCCCTGCTAATGCAGCCCTCCTTGCAATATTGATTAGATTAGCTGTCTGAGAGGCTCAAATAGAGAGAGATTGGCCATCAGCTGGAATGAGCAGAGACTTTTCGATTGCCCCCCCAGGTATTGCTGCTAGACGGGGGGGGGACAGCGCGGGGGGGGGAAAGCTGCCAGAGGCATCGCTTTAGTGGCCGCGCTGAGCTCTGAGACGTGGCTGCTGTGATTATCGTTATGGGAGTTGGCATTAATGGTTGTGCCGAGCAGAACCCCCCCGCCCCAGCTCCCGCTGTCAGCAGCGCTCGGCATCAAAGGCAGAGCTGCTGGATGCGGCCCCCGGTTCGCACCCCGGCGGCCTCCGTGGAGCCGGGGACCGCTTTGGGATGGAGGGAGCTCAAAGCTCCGCGGGCAGGGGCACGGTCCCCTGGCAGCTCCGTGGTGCATCCTTCCCGGCACCGCCGCTCCCTCCCTTTACCCCCATTGCCCCCATTGCCCCCCGTGCCCGGCTCCGAGCAGCCCCTGTGCCCGGCAGGTCCCACGGCCCCGATGCCAAGATGCTGGAGCAGGGGCAGGGGCAGCCCTGCGGGCCGCTGACGCTGAGCCGCCTGCTGCAGATCGCCACGCAGATCGCCTCGGGCATGGTCTACCTCGCCTCGCTCCACTTCGTCCACCGGGACCTGGCCACCCGCAACTGCCTGGTGGGCCACGACCTGGTGGTGAAGATCGGGGACTTCGGGATGTCCCGGGACATCTACAGCACCGACTACTACCGGGTGAGCCGGGTGCTCCGCTCCCATCCCCGGCCCGTGCCCAGCCCTGCTCAATCACAGCAGCCCAGTCTGGGGTGGGGTGGAGGCACCTTAAAGCCCATCCAGTTCCATGCCACTGCATGGAGCAGGGAGCTCCAGCCTGGCCTTGAGCACTGCCGGGGATGGGGCTCCTCCGGGCACACTCAGTGTTAAAACAGCTCTAATCTGAGGCACATCTGGGGGCTTGAGGGGGGAAAAGCGGGGGGGTCCTGCCCCACTGATGGCCCCGCTGCGGGCAGGTGGGGGGCAGGACCATGCTGCCCATCCGCTGGATGCCCCCCGAGAGCATCCTCTACCGTAAGTTCACCACCGAGAGCGATATCTGGAGCTTTGGCGTCGTGCTCTGGGAGATCTTCACCTATGGGAAGCAGCCCTGGTACCAGCTCTCTAACACCGAGGTGGGTGATGGAGGGGGGGGGCAGAGGATGGTGTCAGAGCCCCCGGGGGTGTGTGGGGGAGTTATCCCACCTCCATCCCCTATCCCCACAGGCCATCGAGTGCATCACGCAGGGCCGGGAGCTGGAGCGGCCCCGCACGTGCCCCTCCGAGGTGTACTCCATCATGCAGAGCTGCTGGCAGCGGGAGCCCCAGCAGCGCCGGCCCATCAAGGACATCCACAGCCACCTCCAAGCCCTGGTCAAGACCCCCCCCATCTACCTGGACATCCTGGGCTGAGGGGGGGACCCCTTCCAAGCACCCTCTGCTCCCTGCTGCCCCACTGCCTCCCGCCCCATGGATCCCCCCGGGCTGATGCTCCAAGGGAGGAGGGGGGGAGAGGGACAAAACCTTATTTATAGTGGAAAATTCCCTTCCCAGCCCCCCGGGGGGGGCTGCGGGGCTGGGCTGGGGCCCCCAAAGGCTGATGGGGCAGAGCTGAGAGCTCCCAGCACAGGCTCGGGGCCAGTGCTCGCGCTGGGAGCCCAGCTCTAGGGGGGTGGTTTAGGTATTCGGTGGCTCGGCTGCTCCTTCATCCCGGTCCGTGGCTGGTGGGATGCTCCACTCTGCAGCACAACCGGTCCATAATAAAGCTGTCCGCCCCCCTGCCCCCCCCGCACTGGGACCTGCTGGCTCCGGGTGGGATTGGAGCGGCTTTGGGATAAAAAGAGGGGGGTTTTGGAGCAGGGAGGCTGTGGTGAGGGGAGAGGATGTGCCCGGGATGCAGGGACGAGGTGTGCCTGGGATGCAGGGATCATGTGTGTCCGGGATGCAGGGATGCAGTGTGCCCGGGATACAGGGATGATGTGTGTCTGGGATGCAGGGATCATGTGTGTCCGGGATGCAGGGATCATGTGTGTCCGGGATGCAGGGATCATGTGTGTCCGGGATGCTGTGTGCCCGGGATGCAGGGCCAATGTGTGTCCAGGATGCAGGGATCATGTGTGTCCGGGATGCAGGAACAATGTGTGTCCGGGATGCAGGGATGCTGTGTGTCCAGGATGCAGTGCAGGGATGATGTTCCTGTCCGCAGATGCAGAGAGTGAGTCATGGGGCTCAGCATCCCTCCAGGATGCTCTTGCCGTACCTCAGCCGGGTGCCTGGGTCCCGTTGCCGATGGGTCCAGGGGATGGATAGGACTCCACGGCACAAAGCCAAAGGGTGAAGCCCCCCCTTTCCCCACAGCCCTCATCGGAGCCAGGGGGTTATCACATGCCCTGTAGCATCCACTCCATCATCCCCCCTCGGGCTCTCCGGCCGCCTTGGTAATGGTCGAGACCTGGATCTGACCGTAATGGAGCTGAATTGATTCCATCTGGCTCATTAGGCAGGGCCTGGCAGCTCTTTTGTTACCCACCACGACCCGAGATAAGCAGGAGGAAAGGGGGGCACGGAGGGGAAACTGAGGCAGGGGCGAGAGGGAGCCAAGGGGCTCAGGACCCCGCGGGGCCGGGGCTGGATGGAGGAGCCCCAGCCCGTGTGCTCCATCCCCAGACCCCACAGTGGGGCTGGACCCAGCTCCAATCCCTTTCCTTGTGCAGTGGGGAGCTGCTGCGGACAGGATGCGAGCCCAGAGCCCCCCCCTCCTCCTTGGGGTCCCTCCTGCCCTGCTCCTCTGCTGATTTATGGCCTCTTTCCCCTCTTATCTCATTTGAGGAAGGAACAAGATTAAAACCTTTGAGCTTCTCCAGCCCCTCCGCAGAGCAACGCCCCGGAACGGCCCCGCTGCGAGCGGCTCCCCTTTGGGGGGGTCAGGGAAGGGTTAAGCTCCCTCCAGCCCCACTCCCCGGGGGCTCCAGCGCTCATTGATCCCCCCCCCCGGCTCCCCCCGCCGCCGTTTCTCGGTGTCGGGCTCCGGGGGGAGCTGTAATGGACTCGCAATGAGGTAATTAACGGCTCCGCTCCCGCCCGCCCAGCGACCGGGGGTAACGGAGGGGGGGACGGACCCGTTCTGCCCCATTGGGGTGCTGGGGGTCCATGGCCGCATCCTGCACCAGGGGGTCCCGACCCGCCCCGGTGCTGCCGGCGAGGACCCCGCTGAGGCTGGGTCTGCTCCGAGCATCCCTTGAGGGCATCCCCCCTGTGTGGTTTTGGGGGCATTGAGGATGCAGCGCGAGGCCTGCCCGGCCCCTCACAGCCCCTGCCTGCCCCCTAAGTGCACTTGGGGGTCCCGGTCCAGCATCGCGGCGCTGGGGCGCAGCTGCAGCGTCCCCAAGCACCGTTCCCCCTGCCCTGGGGACACCTTAAAGAGCAGGAGCCTATGGGGGGGTCACTTCCACCCCCCCGGGAAGCGCCCTTTTGGAGTGGCCACAGCGGACCCGCAGCTGCAGGTGGGTTCGATCCTAATGGAGCCCTGGGATGGGTGGGAATGAGCCGCGCTGGGATGTGGGGATCATTCCGAGTGATTAGAGCTATTACTGTAACGAGGAGAAGCGATTAATGGCGCCTTGACAGCACTTGAGGCCGGATAATGCACTGTGCTCACTGGGCTGGCAGGGAGGGGGTCCCAGCGTGGCCGGGGATCCCGGGATTTACATGGGATGTATGGGCAGGAGCCCGGGATATGGGCTAATAGGGGTGACACACAGATCCCGGGATGCAGGGGTGATGGATGGCTGAGGGATCCAGGGTATGAGGGTGATGTGCGGCCAGGGGGAGGCTGGGATGGAGGGATAAAGTGTGGGATGGAGGGGTGATAGGTGCCTGTGATGCCGGGATGCAGGGATAACATGTGCCTCGGGTGTTGGAATGCAGGCACGATGTGTACCTGAGATGCTGGGATGCCAGGATTATGTGTCCAGGATGCTGGGATGATGTGTGCTTGGGGTGCAGGGATGGGGATGCTCAGCTCCCAGTCCCTCAGGGGCGTACAGGAAACCCATGGAGGGGCTTTGCAATGGGCTGGAGGGACAGGAGACAACCAAAATCCACTTTATTTGGTCAAAGCCAAGCCCGTGCTGGAGCCCAAGCCCCAGCGCATCCCTCAGGGGCCCTCTGCCCGCCCCAGAGCACCCACAGAGCACCTTGTCCGTGGCCTCCTGCACCCAGATCCCGGCTCCGAGCCCCGGCTGCAGCCGAGGCAGAGCAGGACCCAACTGAGCTGAAGCCACTGCCTGAGCCCTCCCGAGGGCCAGCACAGCTCCACGGGCTGCGAACCCGGCACCAGTGGGTTTATCCCTTGGGAATCAGCTCCCCCCTCCAGTCCCTTCCCTTGGCCGGGTGGAGCAGGAGCAGAGGGGGAGCAATGGGACAAGGATTGGGGCAGGAAGAGGAACGGGAAGAAGGGAGCCAGGATGTGGGAAACCGCAACGGGCACCCGGGTCCCCTCCGAGCCTGGGCTGTGGGGTGAAGGGGAGGGCTCCAAGGGGAGGGCAGAGGAGCCCCTGCAGCAGCCAAGGGTGGTCCTGGGGGTCCCTCGGGGCTCAGCCCGCTCAGTTGATGGGCTCGTACTCGGAGTAGCGCCGCCTGCGGGCGCAGAGGAGCGCGCAGCCGCCCAGCAGCAGCAGCAGCACTGGGGTGCCCAGCGCCACGGCCATGATGGAGATGACGAGGGGGGAGAAGGTGTCCTGGGGGGGCTGCCCGAAGCCCAGCAGCGCCGACCTGCAGCGGGGAGGGGACAAATCCCACTCTGAGACCCCCCCCAGCCCCGCAGCACCGGGGGCTTGAACGCAGCCAGGGATGGGGCAGCTCCTCCGGGCGCCCCGAGGGGAGCAGAACTCGCCCCTCACCAGCTCAGGAACCGCTTCTCCTCGTAAACCTTCCCCTCCTCTCCGCCGAAGGAGATGTTGACGGCGCTGACGCTGTAGCTGCTGCCGGCCCCGTCCCCGAAGTAGGCCCGGACGAGGCTGGACGCGGGCAGGCTCCAGTTGGCCGCTCGCAGCCCCTGGGAGCGGCAGCGGATCCGGTCCTCGCGCCGGGGCCGCCGGGAGCCGTAGGCGGTCGCCTTCCACTGCAGGAAGCTCCGCGCCGAGCTCTCGTTCTGGGCCTGGGCTGCCAGGGAGAGCACCTGGAGCGGGGCGGGAGCCGCACGGTGAGCACAGGGTGGGCTCCCAGCGCCGGGGGCCCCGGGCCGGGCTCACCTCGAAGACGGTCGGGGTGTACTCGTCATCGATGGAGCGCAGCGCCCGCAGCGCCGGCGCCAGCCCCGGCTCCTCCACCGCCGCCACCTCCAGCGCGAAGCGGGAGCCGTTGCCCCGCGGGGCCACCCCGGCCAGGACAAACTCCACCTTGGAGCTGTTCGCTGTGTGCAGGAGGCTGGGCAGGGCCTCATCGCGGCCGCCGGCCTCGTAGGCTGTGACCTGCGGGGACGTGGAGCTGGGGTCCGGCGCGGGGACGTCCCCGCTCCAGGACACGGTGCTGGGCGCATCCCGGCGCGGCGCGGGCCCGTCCCCGAGGACGTACCCGGAAGGCCACGCTGCCGTTGGAGAAGCTGCCACCGGGATCAGCCGCCGGGACCCCGGAGAACTCGGCCGTCAGCGCTGTGTGGTTCAGGGTGCCATTGATGCTGGCCCAGGAGAACTCGGAGAGGTCGTAGGTGGGGTAGAAAAGCTCCTCCTGGGCTCCAGCCTCGCTGTACTCAAACACCTCAGGGAGAAGGAAAAGGAGAGGGGATGGGATGGGAGCCGTTCCCTGGTGCTGAGGATTCAGGGAATCAGCCACGGAAAAGCCCTTTCAGCTCATCCAGCCCCATGCCAAGGCCACCGCTGCCCCATGGCACTGAGGGGGTGTGAACACCCGCAGGGACGGTGCCTGCAGCCCTGCCCTGGGCAGCCTGTTCCAATGCCTGCGCACCCTCTGGGGCAGGAATTCTTCCTCAGCTCCATCTAAACCTGCCCTGGTGCAGCCTGAGCCCATTTCCTCTTGTCCCATCCCTTGTTCCCTGGGAGCAGAGCCCAGCCCCTCCTGCCGTGCTCCAGCGCACGGGGCTGGGCGCAGGAGCCCCCGGGGGCGCTGCCTTGGCCAGGACTCGCTGCGGAAGCGGCTCCCGCTCTGTTCCCGTCCCCCCCTCGCCGAACCTTGGTGAAGACAACGGCGGCCGCGTGGGTGACGCTGCCGGGGGGCTCGATCCAGACGGCGCCGGCGGGGGCAGGCGAGAGGAGCCGGGTCCAGTCGATGCCCAGGGCGCTGGCGCTGCTCCGGGAGGCCAGCAGGAGCACGGCGGGGCCGCCGATGCTGCTCCACACGTAGTGCAGGGTGTCCGCGGCGCCCACGGCCCGCACGTGGAGCAGGTTCACCGAGGAGCCGTTCCAGCCGGGGTTGTAGTGCAGGGACACCTGCGGGCAGCGGCGGCTCTCACACGGGCCCCGTGCCCGCTGCTCCCCCCGGGCCCGGTCCCGGTCCCGGTCCCGGCCCCGCTCACCCTCCGCCCGCCGCCGCCGCCGCCGGCCACCACCGGGAGCAGCAGCAGCAGCACCACGGCCGCCGCCATGTTGCGAGCGCAGCCGCTCACGTGACCGCGCGGCCACCGCGCCCTTAAAGGGGCCGCCGCTCTTTCCAAACCCCCCCGGGAGGGGTGGGGGGGGGGCCTGGATCCTGTCCCCGCCCCGGGGCCCATGAACCAGCGCAGGGGGGGGACGTTTCTACCCCCCCTTCCCCATTCAATGCACAAAGGCAGTGGAATGTCGTGATTCGGGTTTATTTCTCAGGCAAATCGCGATATCCCAAAGCCTCCCAAGATTTCCCAGGCAAATCGCGATATCCCAGAGCCTCCCGTGATTTCCCAGACAAATCGCGATATCCCAGAGCCTCCCGTGATTTCCCATCAAATCGCGATACCCCAGAGCCTCCCGTGATTTCCCATCAAATCGCGATATCCCAGAGCCTCCCATGATTTCCCATCAAATCGCGATACCCCAGAGCCTCCCATGATTTCCCATCAAATCGCGATATCCCAGAGCCTCCCCTGATTTCCCATCAAATCGCGATACCCCAGAGCCTCCCATGATTTCCCATCAAATCGCGATACCCCAGAGCCTCCCATGATTTCCCATCAAATCGCGATACCCCAGAGCCTCCCATGATTTCCCATCAAATCGCGATATCCCAGAGCCTCCCATGATTTCCCATCAAATCGCGATACCCCAGAGCCTCCCATGATTTCCCATCAAATCGCGATATCCCAGAGCCTCCCATGATTTCCCATCAAATCGCGATATCCCAGAGCCTCCCATGATTTCCCATCAAATCGCGATATCCCAGATCCTCTCATTTCCCAGGCAAATCACGATATCCCAGACCCTCCCATGATTTCCCATCAAATCGCGATACCCCAGAGCCTCCCATGATTTCCCATCAAATCGCGATACCCCAGAGCCTCCCATGATTTCCCATCAAATCGCGATACCCCAGAGCCTCCCATGATTTCCCATCAAATCGCGATATCCCAGAGCCTCTCATTTCCCATCAAATCGCGATACCCCAGAGCCTCCCATGATTTCCCATCAAATCGCGATATCCCAGAGCCTCCCATGATTTCCCATCAAATCGCGATATCCCAGAGCCTCCCATAATTTCCCAGGCAAATCGCGACAACCCAGAGCCTCCCATCATTTCCCATCAAATCGCGATACCCCAGAGCCTCCCATGATTTCCCATCAAATCGCGATATCCCAGAGCCTCCCATGATTTCCCATCAAATCGCGATATCCCAGAGCCTCCCATGATTTCCCATCAAATCGCGATATCCCAGAGCCTCCCATGATTTCCCATCAAATCGCGATACCCCAGAGCCTCCCGTGATTTCCCATCAAATCGCGATATCCCAGAGCTTCCCACGATTTCCATCAAATCGCGATACCCCAGAGCCTCCCATGATTTCCCATCAAATCACGATATCCCAGAGCCTCCCATGATTTCCCATCAAATCGCGATATCCCAGAGCCTCCCATGATTTCCCATCAAATCGCGATACCCCAGAGCCTCCCATGATTTCCCATCAAATCGCGATATCCCAGAGCCTCCCATGATTTCCCATCAAATCGCGATACCCCAGAGCCTCTCATTTCCCATCAAATCGCGATACCCCAGAGCCTCCCATGATTTCCCATCAAATCGCGATACCCCAGAGCCTCCCATCATTTCCCATCAAATCGCGATACCCCAGACCCTCCCATGATTTCCCATCAAATCGCGATACCCCAAAGCCTCCCGTGATTTCCCATCAAATCGCGATACCCCAGAGCCTCCCATGATTTCCCATCAAATCGCGATACCCCAGAGCCTCCCATGATTTCCCATCAAATCGCGATATCCCAGAGCCTCTCATTTCCCATCAAATCGCGATACCCCAGAGCCTCCCATGATTTCCCATCAAATCGCGATACCCCAGAGCCTCCCATGATTTCCCATCAAATCGCGATATCCCAGAGCCTCCCATGATTTCCCATCAAATCGTGATACCCCAGAGCCTCCCATGATTTCCCATCAAATCGCGATACCCCAGAGCCTCCCATGATTTCCCATCAAATCGCGATATCCCAGAGCCTCTCATTTCCCATCAAATCGCAATACCCCAGAGCCTCCCATGATTTCCCATCAAATCGCGATACCCCAGAGCCTCCCATGATTTCCCATCAAATCGCGATACCCCAGAGCCTCCAATGATTTCCCATCAAATCGCGATACCCCAGAGCCTCTCATTTCCCAGGCAAATCGCGATACCCCAGAGCCTCCCATGATTTCCCATCAAATCGCGATATCCCAGAGCCTCCCAGGGCCGCCGGCGCAGGGCTCGGAACGGGCCCAAGGGGGAGCTGCGGCCGCCCCGGCCCCGCGCAGTTCCGCGCTGCCACCAGCAGGCGGCGCCGCTGCGCTTTGCTGCCCGCGGCCGGGCTGAAGCCGCCGGGAGCCCCGGGAGCGGCTCCGCCGGGTGCCGGTGGGGCCGGGAGCCCCGTGCCGGGAGCACTGGACGGGGAGGGAACCCCCAGGGAACGGCATCGAACACACCCGTTATTACGTGTTAACACACAGAGCCCCTGTAAGGAACGCTCCGTAACGGCGCTGCGCTGGGCTATGACGGTAAAGGGAACAGAAATCCCATCGATCGATCCCCACCGAACGTGGTTTTGTTCTCCCTGCATCCGCCCGCATCACGGCCGCCGGGAT